CATACAAGTTTAACAATCAATCAATCAATCAATCAATAGGGTCTCCATAATCAGTTCCGCAATGGCAAAGGTGATTCGACAGATACTGTATCTGGGTCCCAAGGTATTTAGGCCCTCGTAGGTCACAATCCAAATCTTGAACTGACTGGTAGCTAATTGGCAGCCAGTGCAGCTGCTTCAACAAAGATATAACATATACAGGGCCAAAGATTCCCTTCAGCAACCTGGCCACCCCACTCTGCACTAGCTTCAGCTTTTGGACTGAGCACAAGGAAACCCACACAGAATGCCTTACAGCCATCTAAATGGGAGGTTACCAGGATGTGAATAATTGTAGCTAGGTTGTCACTATCTGGAAAAGTTAGTTCACTAACTGAAGCTGGCAACAGATACCCCTAGCCATGGAGATCACTTGTGCTTCCTATGATGATTCTAGGAGCATCTGTTCTTTCTGAAGAAGTGAAGCCCTCAATTAAAAGAAGCAAGCTCCCCAGTTCCAGAACAAGGGAAAAGCTCACCCACAAAAATCTCCTCCTTGTTAGGATTTACTCTGAGTTTAGTATTTAGTCTCATCTATCCCATCACTGCATCCAGGCACTGTTTCAGGTCATGCAGTCATTCCTGATTGAGATGTGATGGGGAAGTAGAGCTGAGCATTATCTCTCTATTAATGTTATCTAGTTCCCAAATACTCTGATTACTATTCAGAGTAGTTTCACATAGATATTAAACAGCATTGATAACAAAGTGGTGCCTTCTGGCACCCCACAGTATAGCTACCAGGCTTTGTAGTAGTAACATAACCCAATACTCTATTAAATATTCCCTGCAAGTTGCAGTATAACCATTATAAAACAGCCCCCCTCAATTCACAGAGATGGCCTACAACAATACCAAGTTCAATATGTGATGGAAATCAAAAGCCACTGAGAGATCAAGCAGGATCAATAAAGTTGCATTCCCTCTGTCTTTTTTCTGTAAGAGGTCACCTATCAGGAGTCATCTATCTATCCCAAAACTGAATCCAAATGGAAAAGGGTCAAGACAATCGATGTCCGCCAAAAATATCTGTAGCTGCACAGATTCCAATCTCTCAAGCATCTTGCTCAAAAAGAATATTTGTGACTGAACAGTTGTTAGCTAAAACATCTGTCCCCAAGGAAGGTTTCTCCTGGAATGGGCAGATGATTGCCTCCAGCACTCCCACTCCATCACACAAAAATGCATTCACTCCTCTCTGGATCTACCCAGTCACCCCCATCCCCTCAGCTATTTCAAATAAGCCAAGATAAGCAGTAATCAAGAGAGCATGTGGTAGGCTGAACAGTGATACATCCTGTCCATGTTCCCAAGTCTCAAACTGAATATAAACGTTATATTTTCAAGGGAAGACCATGCAACAAAAGCATGACAATATGTGACCAAATTACCAGATGATGATCTGTCCATGACAAAGGGTAACTGTAACTCAACACTTTAATATCCAGGTTACTTCTCTCTCAAGGTGAGATAAAATCTAAATCACATGTGTACCTCATTCTACGTGTTAGGTCTAATAATGGTTTGAGCCAGACTCATACAGTAATTATCACAGAGATTATGAAACGTTGAGCTAGCCTTGTTCAGGGTACCTCAGGATGAATGCTGAAGTCCCCCAAGATCACTGTCCTAGAGTTTCCAACTTTTTACTTGAGACTATTTCTGTGAGTTCAAGTCAGGGAAGCTGCTAGGCAGCAGGATGGTGGTTTAGCAACAGTATCCCTAGCCTGTCTCCTTGATCAAGTGCCATCTAAAAGGTCTTAGAATCTTCCCCAGATTGGAAGGTTTTCTGGAGAGCAAGATAGCATTCCCATGGCCTACAGGACCTTCTCTGCTCTTACCCCCCACAACATGAATAGATGCTACACTGAGAAATCAAGTAACCACAGCTGAATCAGCTCCACAACACCTACTCTGCCATCCAGTGCTTAATAATGCATACCAGGTTAGCTTCTGAGTGGGTTTGCACAAGACTCTAAGCCAAACCCAAACCACATTACAACTTAGTGCTACATATGAACTGACCTCTAAGGTCCATAGGTTGTACTTCCCAATAACTACTTGTATCATGGCTTCATGGATGAGATAGGCCACTGAACTGAATTTTTGAGATAATGCAGATCTGGAGCTGTAAGTGCAAAAGCAATGATCCTGCTATCAGATATTGTACAGAAGTTGACTGGAATAAATAAACATCTTTCATAGCCTTTGATATTTTTCCTCAATAAAGTGTCACAGGCACTCACAAGCAAACACAGGAAGCAAGCTCAAAGAGTGGATGCCTGGACTTGTATATTAAACTTGGACCTCTGGAAAAACTCTGCAATATATTAAATAATTTGTTTTCAAGCAATAGGCCTCCAGCAACAGGCCAATTTACATTTATGTCCTGTCTTCCTTTCCACTATATTCACAACACACAATGAAATCCCCAAAGTCACAATTCCCTTGTCAGTCTCAGCCACCACTCATGTGAAATCACTGATGTTCAAGGCATCTCCAGATCACATTTGTACGGCACAGTGTAACTCTGGAGCACTCTTTAGGTGCTCATAATATCCCTAAAGGTAGGAACAAGACCTCTTTCATACCTCTTGATTGGACATTTCCAGCTCCTCCTCCAATACCGCAACACGTTCTAATGCCACTCGCAGCCGTTCTCGAACCTGCCATATATCAGATAGTTACCATTAGTGAAGAAATAAAGGAATAGCTGGACTTCCAGGTGAGGAATTGGTGAACTAGATGTCTGAAAGAGTGGAGATGCCGCTGCAGCGATGACCAACAGACCAGCGGTAAGCTCGGTCCAGTGGAACCTCTCTGGACAAGGAAAGAATGACAGGTCACCCACTTGTGCTCCAGATGGCTTCTCCTCACGAGGAGACCTCAGAAAGTGGTCATCCCATGGGTCTGAGCACTGGGAGATGAGGAAAGCCATTAAGTTTTCAACAATGTTGGAGCCTTTAAGGACACTGGGTTTGTCTAACCTCAGTTTTTCTAATCACTTTTGGATTTATAATTATTTCATAGTGAAAAGTGATTTTCCAAACAACAAGTTTGAAAAGCTAGCTGGTGAGTATAACTTATCCTAATTATATTTCATCTCAAAAGGGAAGAAAATTTAATTAATAGTTTAAAGAATTTAAAGAATATAAAATAAATGGCAAAAAGCTAGATAAGAATTTAATTTCAGAAAGTTTTAAACATATTAAGGGAGCAGACAAATATGGAATATTAGGACTTTTACTAAGACTTCTGAAACATTGAGTGAACAAAACAATATTTTTGTGGAAACATGAATTGTTTAGTCTATTAGGAAAGAGATAATTGGCTGAAAGTTGAAAATAGGAACAAACTTGAGACTTTGTGAATACAGAAATGGGACACTAGAAGGGACTAAAGTTCCAGACAGGAAAAATAAAAGTGAAATTTACAAAATGACAGACAAAAGTATGATGCTTGAGACATTTCAAAGAATCTTTGAAGAACTGGGAGAGAAACTTATAACTAAACTGAGAGCAATAATGTCTGCACCTGTAAATGCATTTTTTGAAGAAGATTCTAAAGAAGTAGTAAAAGATGTCAAAGAGAACAACATGGAAGAATTTAAAGACAGACAGGATGAAGAGGTGAAACAAATCCCAGCTGATGTAGAAATATTGGAAAATAAAGAAATTATTGGATTATAAAACAGAGATGATAATCAGAGTGGAATTGCAAATGATAAACCAAGAGATGAAAAATGATCTGGGCAAGGACTTATTGCTGGATTTACAAAAGAGGGTTTCTAAAGCCTTGAAGATATTTTTGAGGAAGGAAAGTTTGAATGGAGATACAATCCTACAATAGCAACTTGATGAATTAAAGATTAAGTTTGTTAGAAGCAAAAGAAAGGAATATAAAGTTGGCTTGTTTGATTAGGGTGAAAATTATTTCTATAAAACTCTAGAAACCCTTTATGGACTTTTTGCCAACACAAAGCTCCCTGTCCCCAAAAGCTAGGCTGGGACAAATTCTCACTCCTGGTTCCCCCAGTCAATAATTATTTCACCTTCTCATCCAGAGCCTTGTGATGTTCAAAGAGTGACTTGAGAGCCTTCAGCACCTCCACCTCACTGGAGACTCCAGCTGGGGACTGAGCCTGACGCTTCACTACTGTCATGCGAAGAGAACGCTCATGTCGTGATACTAGGCATTCCAGATGTTCTAGCAGCAGCTAAGGATAAGCAGACAGATAAAGAAGCTGAAAGGTTGAGGGAGATACATTTTTGGTTCCATAGCTGGAAGGAGATCAAATACCAAAATCTTCAGAGTTGCAAGACACTACACAAACATTTATTTGTTTTGCAGAAATTATCTCCTCTTCCCTCTTTTCAAATAGCCGCTTCCATCAGTAGATAATTCAGGGCCAGGATGGTGGGATTTTCAAACAGATATGACAGAAAGGCAGTTTTGCTATCAGATACTGAGCTGAGAAAAACCAGCTCTTGGAAGCAGAAGGGATAAGTCCTTCAACTCTAATGGGGAAGTGGGGTGGGGAACTAATCAAGAAGCCCATTCCTTAATGAAAATTAAAGAAACGAGCAAGTTTAAAATAATGAACAACAGCTAATAAGTAAAATAAAGAACAGACAATAAATAATGACAAAAAGTATCTCCTTTTGCCTGTATACACATCTGCATCAAAATTATTTTTGTGTGGAGTTTTACCAGTGCACATATACATTCATATATAGTATAAGAACATGACGAGGAAATCAAAATTGATTTGACTGTGCATGTGGCTTTATCCCAATTATTTAGTGTGGTGTTTAGGAGCACATATGCATATATCAATAACACAGCACACAAATATATCAACATTCCTTTCTGGAAGGGGTGTGTTTTATATCAATAAATATATTAGTTATGTGGAGGATAGTAGGCTGAGTTGGGGAAAGCTGTCATGTGATATTAACAATCAGTATACTAGAATCTGGGAAGATCTAGAGTTCAAAACAAAACTGGAAAAAACAGCACTTTGTATTCGTTCTAGAGCTTACCCGTGTGTTGTTCCGTTCTGCCTTTAGCTCTGAGATCTCCTCCTCACGCTCTGACAGTTGTTCCCTACATAAATTCAACTCCTTAGTAAGTGCTGCAAATTCCTAGTAGAGAAAACAGATAGTGGTGGTGAAGAGAAGCAGTGAAGGGGAGGCAGAGATCCTCATCTCTTGCATTGATTGTACATGTTATGATGTATTGATCTCCTCGAATAAGTCCCTGGAACACTGATGCTGAGGAAATATCCTTGGTTTTTTTTTCCCCTGGCATGTTCTGCATTACAATTTGCTGGAAGCTTTTGGAACCCCCTGGGAGTCACACTTATGTGACACTTATGTGTCACTTGGCACTTATAAGTATCACTTATGTGACACTTAAGCATGCAGCTCTGGAAACTCAGGTTGGGCAACTTGGCCTTGATTATAAACTTGCAGTTTGGATGTGCAGATGGGACCAGCAGGTAGGTCAAAGATTTGAAGGGTGTCATTGCGTACAAAGAATACAAAGCAAAATATTTCAAAACACAAAACTGTATAACAAGGAGAAAAGCCTAAACGAAGACCGTGCTGGATTCTAATGATTACATTTCATGAACCACCAGTAATCATTGGCCTGCGTGACAAAGGAGCTGGTGTAGAGAGTTTATTCCTTCCTCTTTAACTTTATTTATTTGTTTGTTTGTTTACTCTTGGTTCTCTAAGCTAGAATTACAGCAGTCCATTGAAAGTGGCCTGTATTTCTAACATTAGATGCTTGAACAGAATGAACAGAGGGATTTGTTTTGTTTTGAAACCCTGGGCTCTATACCTTTCAAAATAACAGGGAGAGGAAGCATGAAGTGATGTTTAATAATATCCTGCAAAACTAACTTCAGGTTTTCTAATGGAATTTTCATTTGGGACAGTACCTTCTTCAACCACTAGATGGAAACAGACAGGCATATGGACCAATTTATGGAGAAGTTCATGCTTTGATTAGAAAAGGGAGCCTATTACTTCTAAAGCAGTGGGGTCTACAGCTTTTGAAGACCCATCCCCATCTAGTACAACGCATAGTAAAACTGGGATGGATAACATTCTAGAAACCATTGGCTGGATTCACACACCCAAGTAAACGATCATTTCTTTTAAGTCATATTTTAACTATAGTTTACTGAATAAGCCACCATGTTCTGGTTCACACGTAGTGCTATACCATAAGCTATGCTTTACAAACTGAAGTGGCTGAGTTCAAAGATATGCCCAACCCTATTTCATGGGTTTAAGCGTAACGCATGAACCCATCCATTAAATCAGCCCAGGGAAAAATATGAGAGAAGAGGAAAAATCAGATTGGAGCACCAGCATGAAGATCTTTTTTTTTTTTTCATCCAAGTGTCATTGTAACAGACTGAAATTTCCCTTCTTCATATAAAGCAAAGCTGCTATTATGCTCACAGCATAATGACTGGGACCTGTGTTATGTGTATTTTTTCAAGCAAAGCCAATACGTAGCTGTGTTGAGTTGTAGAAGGGCAGTTCTGATCAAGAAACCAATGGTGAGAGAAAAGATTAAGCACCGTTACCCCAGTGTCACTGTTCCAGTCAAAGCTAGTGGACACAGCTGCTTAAGTCTCTTTTAAAAAGTCAGATCTAATCATGGTTTTCTGCTTTAATATCTGTTCTGGCCTGTCATGTAATGAAGGTAAAACAGAATGCTGTCTCGAGTTTCTTTCCCTTCTCAGCTAGGGATGATTGCTGTAGTTCTGCATCCCTGGGGGGCACCAGGTTGCAGAAGCTCATCTATTTCAAACGAATGTACTGTAACTCCTTAGGACTATCAGTACTATACAGTAGAAGAACAGACACTGGACCAAACTGCTAGTCTGGACCAAAAACAAACATACTGGCATCAAAATCAGGCTGTAAACTATTACAGGATCATCTTTACACAATGCTGAAGATGCCTCTGGCCTAATACAGGACACACAATACGTATTCTTTGGACATGTCTAATTTTTTCCTTCAATATCCCCAGAATGTTTCCATTAAATTTTTGGTAGCTGCTTGCTTGCAGTGCTAAGATCTGGGTATTTGTACTCCTGTACTTTAAATTAGGATTCTGTCCTCTTCAGAAAGACTCCAACTCTCTCCTGCTCCTTATGCCTTTGGATACATTTGACAAATGTGTTTACAGAGTATTCATATACTGATTTATTCATTGGTCCTTGCACATCCTCCTCACACCTTCAGGTAGGTTGCCCGCTCTTTCACAAAGCATCACGTGCAACTGCTTCAGTGACTGAGGGAGCTAATAACGGCATATTATTCTTATGGTTGGTTGCACAGTCAGCCAGATGTTAGACTGGATTTGGCATTTTTATACACCTATCGAGTCCTTCCCAAGGAGCTGGGATAGGTAGATGTTATTGGATGGTGCTAAGGGTGTCGTTGCAGGATGTAAGCTGTTCCAAGTAAAGCTGCCTTTTGCAACTGACTGATGGTGATTTTGTCAATGCTGATGGTCTTCAAGTGGTGCTCCAGATGTTTTGGGATTGCACCCAAGGCGCCTTTTACTATTGGTACTATCTTTGCTTTCTTTTGCCACAGTCGTTCTACTTCTTTTGCAGATCTTTATATTTTGTGATTTCCTCCAGTTCTTTCTCTTCTATTCTGCTGTCTCCAGGTATTGCAGTGTCCACTATCCAGACATTTTTGTCTTTCTTATCAACAACTGTTAAGTCTGGGGTGTTGTGTGGCAGGTGCTTGTCTGTTTGAATTCCAAAGTCCCAGAGCATTTTAGCTTCTTCATTTTCTATTACTTTGTCTATTTTGTGGTCCCACCAGTTCTTGCTTACAGGCAAGTGGTATTTCTTGCAGATATTCCAATGCATCATTGTTGCTACTTTGTCATGCCATTGTTTGTAATCAGTCTGTGGAGCAGCTAACTAGGTGGTCCACTGTTTCTTCAGTTTCTTTGCAGAGGTGGCATTTGCTGTCTGTTGCTGTCTTCTCAATTCTGGCTTTATATGCATTTGTTCTTAAGGCTTGGTCTTGTGCAGCCTGAATTAGCCTCTCTGCCTCTTTCTTCAACTTTCCTGCTCTTAGCCAGGTCTTGTTGTTATCTGCTTTGCCTGGTAATTTTTTTCTGTACTGGCCATGTAATATTTTGCCTTGCCATGTCTCTTTTCTGTTCTTCATTTGGTCTTTCTTATAGGCCAGTTTGGGTTCTTTGGGATTCAGCAAGCCTTCATGGTATACTAGCTTCAGTGCATCTTCTTCAATGTCCTTCAGATATTCTTCCAATGCCCTTTTTTCTTCTTCAACTGTCTGGTGTGCCTGCAACATTCCACGCCCACCTATGCTCCTTGGTAAGTAGAGTCTGTCAACATTGCTGCGTAGATGAAGGGCATGACTCATTGTCATTAGTTTTCTGGTCTTCCTGTTCAGGGCTTCTAGTTCAGCCTGAGTGCAGTCCACTGTTCCATCTGTATACCTAATGACTGGAATTGCCCAGGTGTTAATCACCTTAATGGTATTTCTGCCACTGAGTTTGGAATTCTTCACTCTTCTGATGTATCTATATACTTCTAAAATGCTCTTGTCTGTAACCTTCAATTGGGTGAAACGGTGTGTCATAGGGCAACAATTTTTGAACCAAGCTAACTTACAGAATGCATCCAAAATCCAGGACCCACTACTCCTGTGGGATTGAAATTTGAGAAATTTGTGGCTGCTTCAGCACTGCTGTGCTTCTGCACCACCATGGTCAGCCCAGGTCACATGATCGTCATGGGCATCTCCCCAACCTCTTTCCCACCTCCCTCTGTCCCCTGTACCCAATTGGCTGGTGGCAAGGCCCAACGGGCGAGCAGCAAATGGCTGCTTTGGAAATGAGGCCAACATTTGAAATCTCTTAATGGCTGTGGGTGTTGAGGGAAGGATGAGGAAGCGACCTGGATCTTGCTGGTGAGGTAGAGCTGGCTGGGGGGTTCCAGTGGTCGACAGGTGAGCCCTCTTCTTCCCTTGAGGGAGGGGTCCCTTGGGGATACGCCGGAATGGGGAGCGGGGGTGCACTTTTCCTCATGGTCTGCAGTTCCACATTCCCCCAGCAAAGTGGCAGGCAGTTCCGTGGGTCAGTTGAAGAGGAGGAGGAGGAGGAGGAGGAGGAGGCGGCTTCACGGGGACTCTCCTAAGGGTCAGGAGGGGAGGGCAAATGGTGCAAGCCCATATTATATGTGGAAAGGGAGGGGGGGAGGGAGGAAGGAAGGATTTCTGACACTCCCTGCCAGCTTCCCACAAGCAAAGTCAATGGGGAAGTCAGCAACAAGTCGCAAGTCGTTCACACTCCCACTGCTTTTTTGCCCTTGGTCATTCTGTTTCTCTGTTTAGGTAAGGAAATATCTCTGAAATGATGACCCAACGTGTCATGGGCTGTCCAGTTCACTACTAACCTTCTTCTTGACTTCAGTGTGCTTGATATTGTCAGCCTGAAGGATGCCCAGATATTATTGTTGGCTGCACAGTTGGCCAGATATTTAGACTGGATTTGGCATTTTAATCCACCTATTGAGTCCTTCCCAAGGACCTGAGATAGGCAGATGTTGTTTGATGGTGTTAAATGTATCATCCCAGAATGTAAGCTGTTCCAAGTAAAGCTGCCTTTTGCAGTTGACTGATGGTGATTTTGTTAATGCTGATGGTCTTCAAGTGGTGCTCCAGATGTTTTGGGATTGCATCCAAGGATCCTATTGCTATTGGTACTATCTTTGCTTCCTTTTGCCACAGTTGTTCTACTTCTATTTGCAGATCATTGTACCTTGTGATTTTCTCCAGTTCTTTCTCTTCTATTCTGCTGTCTCCAGGTATTTCAATGTCCACTATCCAGACTTTTTTGTCTATTATTATTATTATTATTATTATTATTATTATTATTATTTCATTCCTTTTGCTCACCATCTTTAAAAATTAAAAAGTGTCTGGGTGAGAAGCTCTGCAGTGTCCTAAGTAGCAGATGATCTATGTTGAATTGAACGGATTTCTGCTACAAATATGAAGGATGATTTTTCTCCAAACTGAGGTGCTCAATACTCTCCTCTTTCTGTCTCCCTTGACTCTGCTGTTGA